TCCGGGCAAACGTGGGATCCCAAAGAAGGGATGCGCAAATTGTTGAGCAAATTAGGCCAATTCGAAACAAATAAGCTCTCCGGGAAGAGAACCTGCCACTCCCAGAAAATAATTGAAAAGAATCCCAGCACTGTTATATTGATGTAAGCCTGGAGTAATTACACCGAGGTCAAAGTTGTTGCGTGCACTAAAGAAGTTGTACTAGCTCTGTAGTTTGAGAGCGGATTATGTTCCCTCTTAGATCGATGGCATATATATATATATTCTAGAGAATTTTTTTCCTCTGCACATAAAGAGGATATAAATAATTTTTTTTTTCCCCTGTCATATGCTATCTGCAACCCAATCCTGAAACAAAGTCTCAAAGACCTTCCAATGGTGGACCAGGTGCTGAAACAGATAGCTAAAAGCAGCAAGACCGTGTTGTGGTTAGAACCTAAATGCCCCAGACAAGCTCCTTTCAGGAGCTCTAACAACCCACCTTAGAAGACAGAGAACTGCAGGGCTTGTGGCATATACCTTTTCTATGGGGATCTTCTTTTTTTTCCTTTATTGTTCCCATAAATGCTAAAAATGACACGGTTGACATTGACCTTTGAACTCGATTATGTCTTAAGATCATAGAAGAGATGAAGCCACTTTCTTTTTGTAAGAAGACCTTTTCAGAGCCACAGGAGTGCAAAAGGTAATTGAACATTTGGTTTTTTTAACTTTAAAAAAGATGAACACCAGGTTGACAGCTTCTGTACTTGGATGTTCATTTAATCACCATTTCCTGATTACAGGAGGTGAACTATGTTGACAGACTTGGAGATGAATATGGAGCCCAGTATACTAATAGTATAAAGGGCACGAACTTGCAGTGAGGTTGAAGGGGAAAAATATATATGGAGCATCCATATTACACACATCAATTGGAAGCACCTCAGCAACCAGGGGGAATTCAGAGTAGCAAGTGAGGTATTTAAAGTGCTGCAGGCACTCATAATTGCAAAGACACCTGCATAAGGTATATATACCTGTATAACCTATATGTATATATGTGTGTGTACGTGTATATATACATATGTAAGTTAATCACATATATATGTTAACTTACCTATCTGTCTACATTCCTGAAGATAAGATTTAGCCTAGTCAGTTGTATTCCAGAAGTTCAAATCCTATTGTTCAAGCTCTCAAGTTAGAAGAGGTAACTGAACTGCATTCCAAAACTGCCCGAGTTGCACAAGGTTGTCTAATGGAAGTTGGCATACTAACATTAAACTTACATCCACTCCACCCTCCACATCACTAATCAGAGTTTTATCCTGCCAAGAGCTCTGCACAGGCATAGACAGCACTCTCCCCTAGGACTCAAGGTTTGAGGCTGATGCTAATATAGGTCCTGTCCACACTTGGAGAACACATTTTATTACCGCTGTCAGTAAAGAAGAGGTAATACCCACAGAACACTAACAATGCACCTGCCCCACTAAGGTTGCAACCCTAGACCGGATTGCATATCCTTTTGTATACTTGGAGATCAGTCCATATGCCACAGAATTAGCATGCCAGGTTAAAAACCAAAACCAAAAAACCTTCTCCATGAGTCAGTTGGTTTACAATAAAGGTAATGCTTGTAACCACATTACCAAATAGTTTCAGGCCTTTTCTCACTTCTTTTTTTGAGCTACTCTTCCCCCCCCCGGCCCCTGGTCTCGCTCCCGGCAAGCAGAGAGCTTGCTAGAGCCATGCTCTTTGACAATCCGACTGTTGTGCTAAAGCTCTCCACAGCCTTATTCTCCTTCAGACTAAGACAGGCTCCTTCTCCTGTAGCATCCGTAAGTGGTTATTTCACTTACAGCCACCTAAGCCTTCCTGGTTTGGTGTTTCTTGGTAGGTGTTTCACCATGAAGCTTCACTAGGAACTAAACTGGAGTATCCCCCAAAAGCCAAGAAGCAAAGGAAATCCATTGGGCTCGTTTGCTCCCCGGGATCCAGTCTAGGCATCTAGAAAAGATTTTAAAAAACAGTGCTTAAAACAAGCTTGTTGGTTAACC